ACAACTCAAGGAAACAACATTTTAACCTCAAGGAACTCCTCAATCTCAACCTAACTCAAGAACAAAGGCCAATTTCAAGAACACCATTCAAGATTCATCAACTTTCAACTTTCTAGAACAAACTTCGCTGAAATAAACATGATTGGTGTGTGGGTAAACAAAACCAACACTTTGAAAGACTCACATACCACATAGGGATCACCCCTTGACGAAATCCACAGACTAAACCTTCAAGAACGGCGAACTTTGCTATTTCTCCTCTTTTCTCCTCTTGCGTTCTTTCTCCAAAACCCTAGCGTAAATTTCCAATTGTCTAAACTGAACCAATTCAGTTTAGACCCCAATTTAATTGGTAAAATCGAATTAACTTAATTTTGTGGTGAAAAGACCATAATGCCCTTCTAAAATCCGGATTGAACTTTCCTTATTTGAACAATCCAACTTCCAATGGGCATAGCTCACTCATACGAACTCGGAATCGCGCAAACTCGGTGGCGTTGGAAAGATTATTCCAATATATTTCCTATGATATTTGGAAACACACCTAACTCATCTTGAGCTAGGAGTTATGGTCATTAGAAGTTGACCAAAAACTCAACCTTAACTTAACCAATTTTCCAGATTTTTATTATTTCCAAAAAATCACTCTTTCTACCTCTATCTCTTTCTAGTTCTTTCAATTTGCGAGATGTTACAAATACATAACCAATGAATAAGGAAGACGAAAATATATGTTCATTCTATACTCACTATAGTATTCCATTTGATTGAAATATCTTGCCACCAACACTTTACTTTTTCCGTTCATTTTTTCTTACATATATATTAAAATATAATTATTATCATGACTATTATCATATTATAAGTAAAAGTGAAAAATTATTTTTGAAATAGTGGATTATATATCAAAACTAATAATTCAATGGCTAACATTGATGCCCGTTGTTTTAGCAAAATTAGAAAGAAACACGTTTGTTTGAGGGTAAAAGAATAAAACATGAAAAAACAAATAAGAAACATCTCACCCAAATCATGTGACTTTTTTTATATTTGTTTATTATTATAGTTTTTACCTACAACTTTTAGTCATTGTTAACTCATGAAAATCAAAAGAAAAAATACAACTGTGAATTGATGAATGATTTGCTACAATTTCTTCACCAACTCTTTCTTTTGTGGTACCTCGAATTTCGTTAAATTTTGAACTTAATCAACTGTTGCAAATAACCATTGAAATTTTTTTAAGAAGAAGAAGAGTAGAAAACATAAAAAAAATCATAATATAAAAGTGAGAGGAAACCCCTCTATTTATAGCTAACAATAGTAGTATCGATAGGTGCTAAATGTGCCTTATCAGAAAAGTTACAACCTTTCGAAAAAGTCATTTCTCATAGGAAAAGTCACAACCCTTTGGAAAATCATAACTCATCGAAAAAGGCACAACCCTTTAGAAAATTCACAACCCTTAGAAAAATCACAACCCTTCGGAAAAGTTACAACTCATCGAAAATGTCACAACCCGTCAAAAAAGTCACAACTCTTTGAAAAAATCACAACCCTTTTAATGTTAAAGGGTATCTACTTTTAATATAACTAAATTAATAAATATAAGAAATTGGGTATTTTTAATTGGGGCTATTATAGTAATTCAACATTCAAGTTTGAGAGTTCATGCTTTTAATGTAATATATATATATATATATATATATATATATATATATATATATATATATATGGGGAAAAATGGGGTAAAATCCCAAAATGGTAGGCCAAAAATCAACTCTGAAGTCACTTGAGCGAACACATGTTCGCTTAAGTGAACCCCACTTAAATGGGGGTCTCACTTTTGAGAACCAGGCTTTGCTTTCACAATCATCGTTAAAGCTACTCTAATTTGCTTAAGCGAACCCCGCTAAATTGTGGCCTATCACTTTTGCAACCCAGCCTTCCATAACGCGAAGGTTGCGAAAGCAGCCAAGTGTTCAAGAAAACAAGGCCCGCTTTAGTGAACAGCCTCTCGCTAATGCGAGCACACTAGACATCAGAAAATTCAACCAACAACAAAATCAACGAATGGACCCTCGGGATTCGTTCAGAATCCCGTTCACACATTCCAAATATGCAATTTGACTAAACTTGATGTTCTAGACTCAATGGAACTATCAAAATAGGAATTTGAGATCTCCTTGACCGATATCCATGAAAGTCACAAGAAATGAACAACGTCTAAATGGCTAAAACAAGATCGGGACCTTTGAAAATTCAACCAAGACCTCACTTAGGCCTAACATCATCCCCCGAATCCAGCGGAACTTCAAGAATTCTGATCTGAGCATCTGAAGCCCGAATATTGAGCAAAGTCAATCCAAATGCTAAAAGATCAATAATTTCCAACTTAGGACCTCAAATCCTCTAAAAGACTCCGTATTTGAAACCGACAACTCTCTTTGACTAATTTCCACATTTCGAGACTGATGGGATCACCAAAATTCCATTCTGACACTTGAAACTCCCAAAGACATCAAAAACCACTTTTTAACAACTTTAGCCTTTCAAAAACAAAAAAACATACATAATTCACAACTTTTTACTCAAATCTCAAAACAAATTTCAAAATCCAATCAGAATTAGCTCGGGTTGATATCCGAGGGGTAAAATGATAATTTTATGATTTAAAAAAAATGACCAATTGGGTCATTACATAAAACATCACAAATATACATTTTTGAATATTCTAGATACTCCCACTTTATCAAGAACATATTTTAAATAAGTATACGAGTCTATTGATAGACATATTATTATACTTTCATTCCGAACTCAAAAAGTCAACCCTAAGCCCGCCAGGTCAGAGAAATAATTTTATTTCAAAATTAGTTGCGTCACAATATGAAATTAATCAAAATACAAGCTCGAACTGGACTCCAAATCATCAAAATGTGACTCCTTACTTTTAGGTTAAAAAATCCTAATTTATAACACCCAAATGTGAATTAAATCACAAAAGAAATAATATAATATAGGGATAATACCAAATTTAGAGTTAGATTATTACCCCGAGATAAAACGAGCAATTCCTCCTAGGAAATTACCAAAATTGAGCTAACAAACTAAAAAAATCTTAAATTGAAGTCTATGTTCAAATTGGGGATTATTTCGTCCAGGTCTTAATTGCTTTTTTTGCTAATGTAGATCACAATTGCGAATGTGATCAAGTGATCCGATAGAACCCATCACAATCGTGACGGAACAATCACAAATGAGATTCCTCATCCAGAACTGAACTAGCAAACTTTATCCTCCGCAAATGCGGCACTGACCCTGTGAATGCATATAATTCCTACAATTATTCTTCTCGAATGCGACCTCGCCCTTGCATGCATGGAGAAGAAAACTAATTACACCAACAATTGGTGCATTAGCTATGAAAAATTCTCTATTTCACCCATCAAACTCATCTAGAAAGCCAAATATGCAAATAAACATAAAATATATTACAAATTTATTGAAACTTCAAATCACCAATATGAAGTTGTCTACCAAATGGTGACCATGATCAACTATAAGCTTTATATTTTACTTTTTAGTCTCGTATCATTTCAGATAGTGTATTCATATTTTAAAAAGTTATATTTAACTTCTAATCACTCTTCTTGTAATTGATATTTCCCACATTCATATACTTATATGAAAGGTAAGTTATGAATTGTTATCGCTATTTCATTTATTTCCATATGATTAATTGATTTTAGTATTTCGGAAATAAATTGACTTATCTAACCGAGGGTTATTAGTGAAGTGTCTCACGATCCGTCAAATTTTGAATAATAAAAAGTACGTCAAAATATGCTCATATACTAAGCATGGAAAAATATAGAGATCTATCTATCGATTATGTTGATCATAAAATATTCGGTAAATATATGTAATTAAAGAATCTGTAATAATTAGATGTCAAATAACCAATTTAAGTAAGACGGTCAATTTAATAAATATATCCAAAGTTAAGTTGAATGATTGTCAAAATTAAGAGTATATACAAGAAATTTGAGTTTTATTATGTAGAAACTATTTTTAAGAGAGAAAATTTACCTACATTTACAATAAGGGATTCTAAAATTAATTAATTTCTTGAAATAAATATATAAAAACAATTTTAAAGTCAAAGTGAATAAATATTTCTCCATGGGACCCATATATTATATTTATTTTTGACAAAACATTAGTGTGGTATATATTTTTGACAACATATTGTGTTCTTACAAAACACTAAGTCTCTTCCCTTCAAGTGATGCAAGAAAATCTTGAGGTATAACTTTATTGAATTTTCAGATGTAGAAACTATAATTTTCTGTACAAGCTTAATGAGGTACTGTTTTTCACTGATTTTTTTTCTCTGTTATTGAGTTTTCAAAATGATTGTGTACGTTCAATGGTTGTATATAAATTCTTCTGGATGGTCTATGAATTTTTTTGTGTATATATGAAAAAACAAAATAAAAGGAATCCTTATTATTAATAAATATTTTAGAAATGATTTTCTATGTTCAATTGTTGTATATATATATTCCATCTATTTCAGATTTAACATAGTCATGCATGTTAAATTCATTAGATCTAACAAGAGGTGAATACAATTTTCTTAATATGAACAAACATAAAAGCTATGCTATTTCATTTTTTTTGAACAATTTAATTTATGATCTAAATTTTCGGTCTACATTGAAGAGGTACAAATTCTAACAATTTAAACATAAAAGCTATGCAATTTTCTTTTGTTTTTAAAATAAATTATAGGTAGGTATTCAATATAATTAAATTGTGTACGGGAGAAATATTTCAGACATTTTAGTATCTATAGCTATTTTCTTCTAAATAAAATAAAATCCTATTAGGACTACAAAGAATTTTCGAAGTCCTTTAATCTATAACTTTGAAATATGCCTTTATCTTTGTTTTCTTAAAATATTGACTAAACTTTGACTTATTTTATGTACAGAATGGTGAACATAAATAATCGTGGTACAGAAGTGATCATTGATGAAAATGAGATAGACAAAATCTCTGATTTGCCCATTGATATCCTCAATGAAATATTCAAGGACATGTCATTTCGAGAATTGGTAAAATTGTACATCTTGTCGAAGAAGTGGAAACATTTCTGGGCTATGCATCCAATTCTAGTTCTAGATGGAGAGTTCTTCAAAGAGATAACTGGTAATATAGGATTGACTAAAGATGGTTTTAGTGTCCTGGTTGACAATATTCTCTTTAGACATGTTGGATCAATAGTGAAGTTTTTTCTTGATTTGTCAACTATCTGTTATACTGATGATAGGGACCTTGGCCATTGGTTGTTATGCGTAACAAGTAAATGTGTCAAAGAGCTTACCCTAAAAAATCACAAACACAATCGCTATACATTGCCTTTTTGCATATTTGATTGCCTAAGTCTCACCTATTTAGATGTCACCAATTTCATAGTTAAACCACCTTCTTCCAAAACATTATTCCCAGATCTCCTTAAATTGACCTTGAAGTCCATCAAATTACACCTAAAAAAGGTAAATTATGTCTTGAATACCCCATTACTTTCATCCTTAACATTAATTGCTTGCAATGGTGTTCATTTGCTCACCATATCTGCTCCTAGGATCCAGTTCTTGACAATTAATGATAGTCATGACATTCGCACAATTTTCTTTGTAAATTTCTCAAATGTTAGGGAGTTGTTATTCCGTGAAGAATCTTATTGTGAAGAAGGGAGGTTCATTACATAGTCACTTCTTATTTATTTGTGCCCTAACCTAACAAGGCTTGTTTTGATTAATTCTTGCATTCAGGTGAGTATAATTTGATCAAGACATATTTTAATATTCTTTATTATAAAGTTCTCATTAAATGTTACTATGCTCATATATACTTAGCCATTAATGCATTTTTGCCTTTTATTTTTGTTTTATCAAGCATTTGGGTGCATAATCTTTTCCAAAAAGGTTTGATCAATCAAAACCCTACCATTTGAAGGATGTAACATTGTCTGTGACATTTCTGGATTTAAACCAAGTCTGTGATGTTCTTTCGTTGATTCGACATTCTCCCAACTTGCGTTCACTGGAAATAGATGTAATGTATCTCACCTTTTATAATTTAAAATCGAGTTTAAGTTATATTTACATTGATAGTAGGTTACCTTTACGTGTTGTAGTAGGTAATCTTTGTTTCCGGTAGATACTTTTTTATGAATTGATTGAGTAAAAACATTTTTACATTGTCATTGTATATATGTTAACCACTTTACAGTTTTAGAGTTGAACCTATACATGTACCGAGAATGTAATGAATTTTATGCTCTATCAATATCAGGTTATACAAATTAAAAAATATCTACAAGTAATATTTTATAGTAATGGAATTTTTAATCCTTAATGTAAGGAAGTTTTACTTGTTACAACTTGTAAAAGTTTCTAACCTTCTATTTTTGTTTGAACTTCTATAGGTTTTCAATATCTTGAGTGAAAGAAGCGTAGGTGAAGTTACACATTATTTGGAAGATCCAAATTGTGTTGTCAAACAATTTGAGAAGCTTGAATTTGTGGAACTAAGAAAGTTTGAGGGGACACAATTTGAACTTTATTTCGTAAAGAAAATATTGGCATATTCCCCTTCACTTTCAAGGATGATTGTTGAACCTTCTGATGATATTGATGTAGCAGAGGTACTGCGTTTGTATGAAGAACTTATGATGTCCTTAAAAGCATCACCAAGGGTAAAAGTCATTGTGACACCTCATGGTCAAGTTGCGTAATTTCAAAATTTTATTCTATGGAATGTTTCAAATGATTTCAATGGCTTTTACTTTCCTTTCATGCTTGAACTTGTGATGTTTTATAGGGATCTTCGTTAATGTAATGTGGAGATTATGGATGAACTATTATTTCTTTGTATTTTTCCGTTTGAAGACTTGTTTTTTGCAATCATGTGGGTGATTATGGTAGGGTATGACATAAGCAAATTCTACGTCGATAATATACATTTGAGAAAGATGCTCACTATACGAGGAAGCACACCTTAGTCATTAAAAAGAAAATTCTAAAGCTATGAAGACTTCAGTGCAAAGTAGATAGTATCACTAGTGGGTATTAGATTGTCACGACCTAGGGGTACACCCTAGATGTAACATGGCGTACTTGACCCTGAAGGGGTCTCATACAAACCCTTAGTATATCATAACATAAGATAATAGAAAAGTGCAGAAATTTAAAACTTTTTCCATACAATTGAAGTCTTTTATAAAAATAAAGCGGAAGTCTTACTACACTTGTCTCAAACCATCTATAACAACTTTGAATAATTTTTGGGACACAGCCTATACAATAGTCTCAAAACATGAAAAGAAAAGACATAAAGGAAATGGTGGCTCTATCCTCGATGCTATGAGGACTCACCAAGTCTTCAATCCTTGCACTCCTAGAAACCTATCTTCAAGAATGGAACTCAAAATCGCCGAACCCTACATTTGATGAGAATGTAGGCAAGAGTATGCGTTAGTACAAAAGTACTAAATATGATAGCTAGCATAACATCAACATGAGCATATAAAAGGCATTAGTCAACATAAGACATATACCATAATCATAAGAGACAATAACATGAGTCATAAACATAATCTCCAACATAGACATAATATAAGCATTAGTCATCATAAAGCATAATCCATATACATAGTCAATACTCAGTTCTTCATAACATAAAAGAAACATTCTATAAGTAGCTTCAAGTCATACTTGTGCAATGCATGTATAATACCCCATAATCTCACCCACACTAAGTACCACCTTAGTCCATCATACCGTCTTACCATCTTTGATCTCATCCTTAGCTTACTTCTCATAGGCAAGGGAGTCTCTCAGCTTTAGTCAATCATATCATGGAAGGAAACTATGGAAAAAATCCATCAAACATACATCATAAGCATAAGACATAAGCATATTCATTACATAGACCATCATAACATAAATGGAATATACCATGGATACCTTCAAAGCATACTTGTGCAATGCATGAGTAAGATCCCATACTCCCACCCATACTAAGTAAAGCTTCTTAAGTTCCCATAGTTCATAAGTCATATTCTTATTCATATTAATACCATACTAGGACATTAAGCCTTAACCGACATAGACCATGTGAGCTTAACATGGAATCCAGTGTCTACCCTACACCAAAAATGGGTTGTTCTACTTGCCGAGGGTAGAACCATACTCTTAGCTTAGGTGGATTCAATAGCAAAGTAACCTACGTGGGCACGTAGTTTATGGGATAAGGATATTCCTACTAGAAACCCAGACTCAACTAAGGTAAAATGTTTCCATCTCATGAGATACATACTTTGGGAACCCGGACTCAACTAAGGTAGAATGAACTCATTTGGAAAGTCGGACTGAACTAGGGTAAAAGCTTCAATCTCATATCCAATATCCACTCGGTGCTAGACATTAAGTCCTATTGAGTTCATATTAAGTCTTGACTTAAATTCATATTTGTGGAAGAATGTCTTGACACTCAATCCAACATAACTCATACTATAGCTCATAGATTCAATAGGTGAGACTAGTCTTCCAACCTTAGAATCACTACATGTGACAAACCTTTCACATCATATCATATTCATGCATAAGCGTGTATATGAGAATAACCTTTCATCAACACAACAACTAGATCATGAGGATATTCACTTTACTCTCAAAGTGTTTCTAAAGCATGTATTAAACTTCATAAAACATGCATAATGTCATATCTTGTCCTTTTTAAGGGTAAAAGCTCATGTTAAGTCAACACATCTAGAATGACTACATTAGACATGGATATATTCATAATCATATCAAATCAACATATCTAGAATGACTACATTAGACATGGGTATATTCATAATTCAATTACTACAAGCATAATCTCACACTTCACCCCCTTGAGGTTCCAAGCTTACTTTCAATCATCACCCCTAGGGTTCATGTACTAGACATGGATATCATCCTAAATCATGTGATTCTATCACTTTATGCATTCAAACATTCATGAGGTAGTTTAGGTAGGTAAAGATCTTTCATTACAATTCTATTCATTGGCCTTCTATTCTCATATAGATTTTACTCTCAAAGCCTTAACATACATAGTTCATCATATTGGCTTACTCTCAAAACCCTAGTGACCAACATTCATGACTACAAGCCTTACACTCAAAACTTTACTTCTTACAATCATCATTCATACCTAGATTTCAAGGCATTCTAATCACATTCTTTATTATCAAGTGATTCTAGTCATAAATCATCATAAAGGCTCAATCTCATTCATTACTAGTCAAGATCTATCATATAATCTTTAATCTAATTAAATTCATGTTTACATAATTCTATTCTTGATCAATTGCTATACATGTCATCAATTCTAGAAGATCACCCTCAATTTCCTCTCACAAGTCATAAACCCACATTCTCCAATTTCATCAATTAGACTAGGTTTAACCACGAAAAGCACATAATATCATCGTAATATCTTGATTCAATACTAAATCAATCATAAACAAGTACTATCCACTCAATTGAAATCGTACTCAACTAAACCCACTATTTTGGAAGGAACCCTAACTTGAATTGGGGATTTCATCTTCACAATTCGGGGAAATCTAGGGGGCTCCATGCATGGAAGAATCCATGGATGAATAAGCTAACATACCTTGATCATAAAGACCTCAAAAAGCTTGCAAAAATGGAAGAATTTGACCTAGATTCTTCTTCTTCTTCTTATTCTTCTTGAGAGAGAATTTCTTGGAGGGAATTGGGTTCTTTGGTGAATTGAAATAATAACTAGGATCAATGTATTTAGGGGTCTATTAGCTTTATATAGGTGGTGTAATTACTAATAAAATGACCCCACTTAATAACTAATTAATTATAGACCCTCCCTTAACCCCCAACTTAACAACTTAAGGGACCGAGGTTGGCTCACCCACAAGACCACACCCACGGACCGTGGGTGAGTCCACGGAGCGTGCTGGTCCTCCGTGGGTGGTGGCTAGCAACTTAATATTTTGGGGTCTTGACCCACGACCCCTTCCCACGGGGCGTGGGTCCACCTACTGGGCGTGAGTCCAATCCGTAAGTGGCCCATTTTGGGCAGTTTGTAGGGACTGTTTTGGGTCCCCCTTATGGACCGTTGGTTGGTCCTTGGGGGGTCGTACCTTGACGCCCTAACCCTAAAACCTTCATTCTAAGTATGGGAAGTCATATTTATGATTATAACCCCACGTAAAGCTCTAGAACCCTTACATAAGGCTCTAGTTTAAATTACTATTTTTCGGGTATTACATAGACCCACTACACATGCACGCTTATTAATTATGTGGTTGATGGTGGGCCAAAATTTAAGGTTCAAGTAAGTTTAGGAAAATCCTAAAATTGTTGAAATGATGGTTGTGAAAACCTCAATGAATACTTGTAGATAATTTTCATAGCTTGATCAAGTGTGTCAAATTAAAGACAATGTCCTTAAGGATATTTAACCCATATAGGTGTATCCCTAGGATTCAACTAGCTATTTTAATATAGAACTAGGAGCACAAAGTTCAAAAGTGTCCCCGATGATGGAAGGAACCACCCTCTCTATATGTTCCCCTACCTCTAGATGAGGCATGAGAAAACTGACATGATGTACGGGCCCTTTTAGGATCGCCAAACTCATCTCTCTCCTTCAATTCTGCCTCATTGGTGGCTCTCACAATGGACCGGAAGGAAGCCCCCTCTTGATATGCCCTAAACACAGCCCATATGAAAGAGAAAGTCACCCTTTCAAATCTACAAATCATTTCCATCTCGTCCATAATAATGGACAAACCAGGCCTAAACAACTGGCGAAAACGGGCCTCATACTCTACAAAGCATAAGCTTTCATGTCTCAGATTCTCAAACCTCAAGCGACTCTCCTCTGTCACCCTCCAAAGGACAAAGTGGTCATGAAAGGCACTAGAAAGTGTCTCCCATGTCACTAGAGAAATCCAACTAGCAAAGTCCTTGAATAAACTCTCCACCACTCTCTCGCTGGCCCACAAAGTTCGAGGGTAGCATACCGAACCCCATGTGACTTAACTAACTCAACCACCTCTATCAACTCTCAGCATGTAGTTAGAAACTCATGAGCCTCCTCGCTCTTCCCACCCTAAAACTGTGGTGGGTCCATCTTCTAGAATTTTTGATATCTGCGCTACTCGTGCTCTGTCAGAACAACCAATGGTGCACGTTGACCCTCAACTATCGGTGTAAGATCATTTCCAACCATGGGATCCACTGGTGCCTACCCCATAGGATCCTGAACAACTGGAGTATGTTGCTGCTCTAGGTTGAGCCCCCACTCTAGTCTAAGAGCCATGTGGTGTGTCGGTCGCACCACCACCCTGAGTAAAGCTTTCAAGCACAATAAACACTCTCAATAAGGTATCCTGAAGCAAAGGTATGGCTACGTGCTCTGGAGGAACCCGGTCATTTCGAATATTAATCTAAGGCTCTAGAGGGGCCTCTGTAGCACGACCTTTCGCTAGTGCTGCTCACGGGGACGATCTCTGGCTAGTGCAGCTCCACAGGCACTGTCAGACACGAGTCTACACCTTGAACGTGGCCGACACTCGAGAACCATTGTTTGTTCCTAAATGAACCCTCATCCTGGCTGACTACAAGCAGAAGACTAACTCAAGCATACAAAAGCTTAAAACTGGATTAAATTCAATAACCTCAAATACTCAACTTTGAAATA